TAGTTCCATTCATTTACCTGCAAATTTCATGATTTCATCTTTCTTTACTACTGAGTAAAACTCCATCATATAAATGAACCACATTTTCATTATCCACTCCTCAGTTGAGGGACACTTACGTTGCTTCCATCTCTTAGCTATTGTGAAAAGAGCAGCAACAAATATGGATGTACAAGTGTCTCTGCAATAGGATGAGTTCTTTGGGTATATGCCAAGGAGTGGTATAACTGGGTCAAATGGTAGGTTCGTTTGTAATTTTTTAAGAGTTCTCTGCACTGCTTCCCATAGGGGTTGAACCAGTTTGCAGTCCCACCAGCAATGGATGAGCAATCCCCTTATCCCACATCTTCTCCAACATTTGGTATCATTTGTTTTCTTGATCTTAGCCAGTCTGACTGGGGTAAGATGAAATCTTAAAGTGGTTTTAATTTGCATTTCCCTAATTACTAGTGCTGTTGAGCACCTTTTAAGATGCTTCTTAGCCATCTTTGTTTCTTCTTTTGAGAACTATCTGTTCAGCTCCTTAGCCCATCTTTTAATTGGGTTACTTCTTGTCTTGATTCTTTGTTTTTTTGAGTTCGTTATATATTCTGGATGTTAAATCTCTGTGATATGTGTCACTGGTGAAGATTTTCTCCCATTCTGTGGGTTTTCTCATCACTTCCTTGGTTGCTTCTTTTGATGTACAGAAGCTTTTTAGTTTAGTGAGGTCCCATTTGTTGATTCTTGACCTTGTTTCTTGAGCAATTGATGTCCGGTTTAGAAAATTCTTTCCTACACCTATATGTTTTAAGTTTTTGCCAAAGTTTTCTTCTAGAGTTTCAGGCTTTACATTGAGGTCTTTGATCCATTTGGAGTTGACTTTTGTGCAAGGTGAAAGATAGGAGTTTAGTTTCATTCTTCTACAGGTGGAGATCCAGTTTTGCCAACACCATTTGCTGAACATGCTGTCTTTCCTCCTGTGAATGTTCTTGGCCCCTTTGTCAAATATCAGGTGGCTGCAATTGCACGTATTCATATCTGGATCTTCAGTTTTGTTCCGTTGATCTATGGGTCTATTTTTGTGCCAGTACCATGTTGTTTTTATGACTATAGCTCTGTAATACAGTTTAAAATGTGATATAGTAATATCCCCAGTATTGCTGTTAGTGCTCAGGGTTGCTTTGGCTATCCAAGATCTTTTGTGCTTCCATGTGAATCTTAGGATATTTTTTTTCCAATTTTGTGAAAAATGCCATGGGGATTTTGATTGGCATTGCATTGAATCTATAAATGGCTTTTGATAGGATGGTCATTTTCACACTGTTAGTTCTTCCAATCCATGAGCATTGGAGGTCCTTCCATCTTCTGATGTCTTCCTTAGTCTGTTTCTTTAAAGATTTAAAATTTTCATTGTAGAGCTCTTTAGTGTCTTTGGTCAGGTTTATTCTGAGATTTTATTTTTTTTTTGCAGCTATTGTGAAGGGCAGTGTTTCCATGTACTCTTTCTCTGATTGCTTGTTATTGGGATATAGAAAGGCTAAAGACTTTTGTAGATTAATTTGGTAACCTGCCACTTTACTGAATGTGTTAGTAATTTCTAGGAGTTTTTGGTTGTAATTTTGGGCGTCTCTTAGATATATCTGCTAAAAGAGATAATTTGATCTCTTCCAATTATTAATCCTTTAATTTCCTTCTCTTGTCTTATTGCTCTTGCAAGAGTTTCAAGCACTATGTTAAGGAGGAGTGGATATAGTGGACAACCTTGTCTAGTTCCTGATTTCAATGGGAATGCTTCCCATTTTTCTCCATTTAGAATAATGTTGGCTGTGGGTTTGTTGTATATGGCTTTAATTACATTGAGGTATGTTCCCTCTAGTGCAATACCCGCTAGGACTTTGAACATAAATGCATGTTGAATTTTGTCAAAGGCCTTCTCTGCATCTATTGAGATGACCATGTGGTTCTTGTCTTTGAGCCCATTTATATGATTTATGACGTTTATTGACTTACGTATATTGAACTATCCCAGCATCTCTGGAGTAAAGCTGACTTGATCATGATGGATGATCTTTTTGATGTGTGTCTGTATGAAATTTGCAAGTATTTTGTTGAGAATTTTTGTATCTATGTTTATTAAGGATATAGGTCTATAGTTTTGTTTTTTGGTTGTACCTTTACCTGGCTTTGGTGTTAGAGTTTAGCTGGCTTCATAGAAGGAATTTGCGAGTTCTCCCTCCATTTCTATCTTTTTGAATAAATTAAGTAGTATTGGTTGTAGATCTTTCAATATCTGG